AGAAAGAGCGGATACGCCGGAAATTTTACTTGCGCCACGATGCCTCCCTCATCATTATTCCCATTGGGCACCATCCACCCACGTTAATCACAGGTAATAGAAAATCAAAGTCTAATACACTCGCAGGCTACTCCACGTATTCTGTACGTTGACGTCAGGAATTTGTATGATTTAAATAATAATAAATCGCAGATTACGTTCAAATCAAAACGAAGGAGAAGAGAGTTCTAAGGGCGAGGGAGAAGTAGACGGAGAAATTAGCGATATGGAAGGTAGTCAAGTATCGTTGCCTCGAAGTTATACACTTCCTCGTGAATTTAAGTATAATCATCCAAATAGTGCTGCCAGAGAACGAGAGCGACGTGTAGGAAACAATAAGGTCACAGCCTCGCGTTTCTATTTACCCTCTACCAATAGTTCCGACGGTAGGCATATCTTCAGATTTTTATTATTATTAGAACTCAACTAAATTATTCTTTAAACTTTATACATTTTGTATATGTATATCGATGTTTACTCAGGAGATGTAGATAGTGCGGATAACGAAGATGAGACTGATTCCGAAATGCAGTTTCGTATGAAAAACAATTACGGATATAATAATCATTGTGGGACACAACAACAGCAACAGCAGCAACGATACGCGTTCGAAGATAACACAAACAACAAAACTGAGTTTTTACACTCTAATCCGGATTCTACGGCAGCTACTATAATTTCTGGAAACTCTTACCTAAATAATTCCCAAGGACTGCTGCGACCGAGTCAGTTCTTCAGAAACAGGGTTAAACACGAAACGAAGCTTTGAGACTTTCGTTTCTACTGATATACCCTTCAGAGATTGTATAATAGCTAATCGAAGACTTGAGATCAAAAAGACTGTACATGTTCTATTTTTATAAAATAATTCCTTATTTTACATACATGAAATGTCCTGTAATATACTACATTTGAATTGAGATTCCCGAGATGTAAAGCAGAAATGAACATGGGTATTAGAATTTTGACATATGTATTTAATAACATCGTTTCGCTTATTCCTTACAAAGAATGCTGAAAATACTCTGTTCTGTACAAATTTAACGCATGTCGGATAAACCAAGTACGTGTTTATTTAAATAATTGAGTTTTAGAAATTAAGGATACAGGATTTTATACGAATTTAATATTTCATACATACAAATTTTTCAATAAATTATTGATTTTCTTACTTGTACTTTATTATAAAATACACGGTTAAAAAATCAACACTGACGAAGATATTATTACTTTACGATTACTACCTTTTTACATACCGTTAGAGGACCAATTACGTAAAAATATAGGGTATTCGGATTAATGAATTTATTTCATATTTAAAAAATAAATATTAATATATTTCTTTCTTTACAACAGTTAAAATATTTTTAATCTTTCAGTCTCTTTATCATAGCTATTGCGTGTATGTCCATTTTTGTTTAAATACACATCTTTCCTCATATTACAATTTGATATATACATTATAAATATTTTTTTATAGGATATCGTGTAAATTTGTTCTTTTCGGTAATAAAACATTTTTTAATCAATTTTACCTTATCGATCTCTCAGAATTAAATTTGTACTTAATTTATAAATGCAAATTGTAAAAATATAAATATAGAAATATACATAATATAAACATCAAAAAGCTTTATATATGTATACTTTTTTTTTAGTATACATTAATCATTTACAGGCGACAATTATGTATAATAAAATCTATATAAAACATTTACATTTGTATAAATACTTGATGGCTTTACGTATTGTGCGTTGGTAACAAATTTCTGTATAAAAGAAAAAAAAATAATTGATTTTTGCGTTAAAGTACCCATCTTACAAAATGACAGTTTTTAGTACGTACAATAAAAGTTAACAAGAAAGGAACTGTCTATAAAGCAATTGAACCGAAATAGACCGCTTTCGATTTAATCGTATCAAATGCGGATCGCGGATACCTTAAAGAATAATTTCATTCTTAAAATTCCTTGTAAGCTCTTTGTGCGGTAAAACAATAGAATTCAATAAAATTTTCTCAGCCGCCAAACGTACACTTGTGCCTGCAACGTAAGCGATAGAAGTGTATAATTGTTTCCTTTTATAAAACACCTAATAAGTTAATTACCAAGGATTGTTATAGAAGGGTTTAGCTTCCCATTGGTGTTAAACAGAGGCAAATTTTCCATTTTTGCAAATGGCTTGTCAGGATTGGGGTCGCATGGAGTTCCCTCTATACGCGCCCATTCTCCTACGTAGCTGCTCTTTCCCACTATACTATGTAAAACAATGGAATGTGCTTGAATACGAGCATCTGCTAATATAATTGACTCTTTAATTCTAACGCCACGGGCAATGATAGCGTTCGGACCTATGCTCACATTTGGACCCAACTATAAACAAATAATAACGATAAAACTGTGCTTAATTATTAATAAGAAATAAAAGTACAAACAAAAATTTCTTTACCACTGCTGTTGAGTCTACAGTGGCCGAAGGATGAATGTAAACATCGCCAATAATATGACAAAGTTCGCTAGTTGTAGGAGATAGACGATTTAGATGAGTTTTCTTGTAAAGAGCTAAATAGTGACGGTTAGCATATATGGCGGAACCTGCTGTTTTAACTTGTGACCACCACCTTAGAACAGGCAACGCGAATAAGCGTCCTGTTCCCGCCAATCGTGTTAATATATCTTGCTCGAAAGATATGTAACCTGGGTCTCTACCGTTACCGTTAAATTGACTGTAATGTTCGATTAAAATTATTATGCCTATGAACAATTATTTTAATGATTTAAAAAAAAAAGTAATGTAAGTAATAATTTTTTTAAATATCTTACGTAAAGTTTTCCTGTTGTTGACCAGCGTAAAAAGCATCTGCCATAACTTGGGAGATATCTGGCGAAGCAAGATATATTCCACAGTTGATTAGGGTTGAAACAAATGTCGACGGCTTCTCTACATAGTGAGCGACTTCTCCTTCTTTCCCAAGCACCATACATCCATAATTCAAGGACTGCTGTCTTGTTGCTTCAGTAGCCATAATAGTAAGCAATGCCTGTTTCTTTGTATGAAATTCAACTATTTCTTGCAAAGGAAAATCGGCGCATACATCGCCGTTCATTACAAAAAAGTATGTAGGAGAACCTGATCGTATTTGATCACGGAAATGATAAATCCCCCCTGCGGTTCCTAGTGGCATAAATTCTTGAAGATACCTGATGGTTATACCATACATACTCGTCATTTCTTGAATAAATTGAGACAAATCGCTTGCAAGATATGATCCAATTATTAATATTTCACTAAGATTCTCCACCTTTGAACAAGCTTCTATATGGTGTTGTATCACTGGTAGTCCAGCAACTGGAAACAGTGGCTTCGGTATGTCCAAAGAAAGGGGTCTAAATCTAGTTCCTGGAAAATATACTTTTGGTTTCTTAAACATCGTAAACTTCCTTAATCCTAATTATCAAAAAGGTCAATTTGATTGAATAGCTGTCAGTTGAATAAATCTCAATCTATATACAACTATGTTCGAGACTACATTATACTGATTAAAATCCGTGTTAGGAATGAATATATTACAAGAAAACAAACCTTTTAAAGGACCTCCGATTAATATAACAGATTTCAATATCATTTTTATTTACTATACCACCGAGCTTGTTACGAGCCTTATCAATTTCCTCTATCCACTACAATCCACTGCCACTGTCTGCCACGACGATAGAAACTAAACACACATAATACACCACATCGCGTACTCTACATTGATATACACTCACACAACTAATATTGGGTACAAGTGGCGCCATCGGTGAGAAAACGCCCAAGTTCGTAGTAAAAATAGTTCTTCTTTCTTCTGGTAGATGGCGACTGTAAGGAATGAAAGACAATACTGGTATCACCATCTAACAGCAACAGTAGGAACTATTTTCACTACATACTTGGGCATTTTACCACCGATGGCGCCACTATAAATTATTATGTGGGGACGGGCCTTAAGGGTGCGCAGGACCCAAAACCTAACTCCGAGTTGACTTTAGCGACAGTTGCGGAAAAAGTAAGAAACTCCGGGATAAGGACAGAGAGGGCGATACAAAAATTGCAGGAGAGACGAGGATAGGACGATTAGGCTAGCATGATTTTTTTTCCAGGATATTGAAGCAAAGAAGCAATATTTTCTAATAATTCTGGTTTTAATTTATTCGTTATACTTTGGCGGATGCGACTCCAAGAACTGAATTTGCAATTTCGACCTTATAAACTTTATAAACAATAAAATGTCGATAGCAAACATACTTTTATTGCTTATAAAGTTTTAAGGCCGAAATTGCAAAATCAGGTCTTGGAGTCGCATCTGCTCAAGTGTAACGAATATATTAAAACCAGAATTATTAGAAAATATTGCTTCTTTGCTTCAATATCCTGGAAAAAAAATCATGCTAGTCTAATCGTTCTGTTCTCGTCTCTCCTGCAATTTTTGTATCGCCCTCTCTGTCCTTGTCCCGGAGTTTCCTACTTTTTCCGCAACTGTCATTGAAGTCAACTCGGAGTTTGGCTCTGGGTCCTGTGCACCCTTAAGGCTCTACCCCCACGCCTCCGTTTTCCTTTCGGGATTATGAGAGGGGAGTACGGAGAGGGGAGTACGCTCTGCGCGGGTTTTGCCGGGAAGCCTAGAGAGTTAAGAGAGAAGAGAGAAAAGAGAGTTATCCTGAGTACTGCAAAATCGTTATTTACACCATCCTTCCACGGCTGATCTATCAGGAGTGGGCCTGAACACAGATCCATTATCTGTGATTACCCCACAATTATTATTATTATTATTATCTTTATTATAGTACATGAGTATCTCCCACATTGCACTGTCTTCCAGAACAACTATAAATTCACTCGAATTTGATCATATATAATTATTTTAGATTTCTTCAATTCTTTATACAATATAAATTAAACATAGTTTACACAATTGAAAGTATAGTTTTGAATATAACTTTTATTTACCGTTACAAATAATTGATATAAAAATTAACAAAATAGAGATTCAAAATACATACAAGCTATGTATATGATAACAAATCAATTTCATATAACTATAAGTAAAGATCAGTTACCATAACAGTATCATAGTGTTATTACATTAACTTTTCAATTGTATTCTCTATTTATAATATGACTATTTATACCATCTTTAATCACGAGTAAAACATTGTACCTTTAAAGTATACCATCAATGCGAAATTCATTCAGTGTTAAATATACTAATTGCATCACATTTCCAAAAAAATATAAAAATTCGTATTACAGACTAGGTACCACTAAATTCAAGAAATTCATAGCAACTTCAAATCCAAGGAAACATGCTGCGTTTGCTGGAAAAGCGCGAAGCATCACAGGCGCACATCCTTTGTATAACGCTTTCGGTCCCTCTTCTTTCATTAAAAGTACAAAGACGTCTCGAATTCCACGTTTGTAAGTACCGTCTGGAGCTAAAAACGTGACAAAAAATTAACGTAGCAATTCACGATGACGTACAATTTTGGTAGATTATGTCTAGAACAATTCAGGAGCAATACATACCACTTTGTAGACGGCTTTTTAACACATCAGGTGGCATTCCAACGATCCAATTTGCGATACCAGCACAACCACCAGCTAAAATTGTAGGAACTATTCCGAGTTTTCCTCCCTCCGGAGTCATCCAATTTTTCAAACATTCGTACGTCATAAAGTACATTCCACTGGCAGGAATATCTAAAAGTTTGAGAGAATATAATAGTTTATGATAGTATAGAGAAATAACGTAATACAAGAAATTTAATATAACATCTGCCTAAGAACATTGAAAGATTGAATAGTTTATGATAGTATAGAGAAATAACGTAATACAAGAAATTTAATATAACATCCGCCTAAGAACATTGAATTCTGTATGGATCTATGTAATCCATGCATCTTATGGAAATGTTATTTATAATTATACAGCAAGAATAGTGTGTGTGTGGGTTGCTAGATAGAAAGCATCCTGTTTGATAGGGGACATCAAAGCATATAGATAACAGTTAACAAAATTCAGTTTCCTTCGAACCAGCGTACCATCACTGGTTTTAAGATCCATTTTTCTTCGCTATTCGAATTGTAAACGGATAATGACGGTTACGCTAATTTTTGTTATCACTTTGCTGGTATATAATTCATTTTTCCTTTTTTTTCTATTTAATATAAGTTTTACACGATTTGAACATAATATTGCTTCATGCGAATCTGAGATTATATCTTCCTCGTAGTTGTTTTCAAAGCTGCCTCTTTACGATACAGATTTTCCTAGAAGCGACGTCACGTTTAATTGACACGAGAACAACGCGTGTAGAACTAATCGAACAATGAATTAATGAATAAATATATGTCGTTTAGAACGAGTGCTTTGGGCATGTAATCGATATCGGCGGTGTTTGGGAAGTAAAATGTCCACAAGGATGTTCTTGTGAAGTTCAAAGATTCGCCGATTTGCCTTTACATCGATGGATTCGAACGAGCCAAGACCAGGTACGAAGAGATCCGTTCTTCTCTCTTTAAGACTTAACAAATTTGTTCATCCGCAGAACTTATCCAACGACGCTGATTTCGAGCTTGGTTTAAGTATGGACAATGCTATTTTTACGGAATTTTTGAAAGTAGCAATTTGTGTCGTTGCCGAAGATTACGAAGAACTTTTGGATAAACTTCCCTCGGATATACAGGTCGATATTACCGAATGAAACATAATTTTTTATACGATATCAGGGGTAGGGTATCCGAAATTAACATCTAAATCCATGTTTCAGATTTTTACGATACTAGAATCTGGGATGGGTGATTTTGAGATTCTTTTACAATCTACGACATTCCAGCGTTTCACAGATTTAATATCTTTAGACATACAAGGCATCGATTACGATGAACCTGGACGAAAAGATTTAAGTAACGTGCAAAAAAAACAAGGAGGAATCGTATTATCCGTTGATTCTTTGTATTCGTTAGGTTTAAATTTGTTCTATTTGAATTTGGAACGAGTGAAACTAACCAGTCTGAGTCCAACAAAAATAAACAAAGCCAACCTTGTGATCAAACCGATGAATACACCGACCGACGATCAAAATATAAACGATCAATTGCTAAATACAGGACACAGATTGATATTTTTAAGTCAACAAAATAGCGGAGAAAACGACGACAAGGAAATACTTCCTTACGATATTTATAAACAAGAAATGGAGGGTTACAAAGAAACCGTTGGACTTTTCACTGGTTTAGGAGCTTTAACTCATTTAAGAGTTTATGATTGCGCTTTGAAAGATATATCATGGCACATGTTCGACGGTTTGAACAGTCTTGTTTATCTCTCACTAGAGAAAAACAATCTAAAGTTTATTCCAGAATTTTGTTTTTATGGTACGCCTAACTTAAAAGTGCTTTCGCTCGCTAGTAATCAGTTATTGACGCTTAAGAGCGTTGACTTAGCTGGTTTGCTAATGCTCAAAGATCTCGATTTAAGAGCAAATAATTTAACTTTCTTATCGGAATTATCTTTCCCTCCTTTTCCAATGCTCAAGTTTGCGGATTTCCGAGAAAATCCTCTAGATTCCGTATTTCCAAGGTACTTTAATGTTTTCGATAGTTTCTATTTAATGAGTTAACGCACGAAAATAAATAGGAAGCATACAACGGTAAATAATACTTGAATAAAACATCGTACGCATATCTTTTACTTTTAGTACTTTCGAAATTATGAATACAACGCTGAGACTATATCTGGGCGGCGAGGACTCGAAACTATATTTGCAAAAAAATTCATTTCTGGGACTACATCAACTTCAAGTCCTACATCTTTACAATCTGGAAATACCTGTGTTGGAACGTTTTGTATTTCAAGGAATGCCAGAGTTGCTAGAATTAAAAGCACGTGGAAATATCTCGAGTATAGAATTCGACGCGTTCGTAGATTTAATCAAATTGTCGGATCTCGATTTTAGTCGCTGTCATATTCGTAAGATATCCATGGATGCTTTTTATGGATTAGAAAATGTTAAGCGCATAGATTTGTCTGACAACGAATTAGAATTTATTCCACCTGGCTTATTCGGAGTGCAACAACAGAAGGAGCTTAAGGAAATCATCCTTTCGAGAAATAAGCTAACTTCGCTACCTCTGGACTTTTTCAAAATGTTACGCGTTCCAAATAAACAACCACAATTAACGATCGTAAGATTAGATGGAAATCCATGGGATTGTACTTGTTCCATGGTTACATGGAATCCTCAATTGGTAAGTTTAACGAAATATATTTATTTTTGGTTCGTGTATAACTTATAAAACATAACGAAGCTCGAAGTAATTGTAATTTACTAAAAATAGGTAAATAGATTACGAGAAACAGCGCCGCGATGCTCAACGCCAAAAAAGTTGCGCAACTGGGGAATTTTCCACGCATTGCGTAAAGGTGGTTTGCAATGCAGAACTTTAAAGAAGAAACATGTTAAAAAAGTTTCACTGGAAAGAAGTTATTACAAAGATAACAACATTATCAGTTAGCTAATTTACAAGTAATTAATGTACATGTATAAAAAAAATTAAAGAATATAAGAAATCAATTGCGTTCAGCTTTTAAGAAATGATTGTAAAGAAAATGTATGAATTAATTCTGTATTATAAATTCGTGCACAGATATATAATGATATACAAAAATAAGAAAATTTGAAATAAGACTTACGAAAAATATTGGAAATTAATAAAAAGATGATGTATTAAGATTTATTCGTAATTAAAATAAATTACAAAGATAAATAATAAGTTGATTTCGCATACCTCTTAAGAGAGTGGCACAGGTACCTTTGTAAATATTTCTTATTCCTCCCTCTCTGTAAAGTTGCTTTACGCAATCAGTAGGTCCTTTGTATTTTGGTTTTGCGTCACCTTGTTGTATCTGTAGAAGACATTTTATTCTTTCACCAGGTGCCATTATAAAGGTTGTAAAGATACCGCTGAATGCACCAGCGTAAAATAATTGTAAAGGTGTTAATTGTTCGTCGTCGGTTGTCCTTATTAATTGCTTGCCAAGGCCAAATCCGTAAAAGCTTATAGCAAATATTGGAGCCACACCGCACAAAGGTGCGGCCATACCTGTAGAAAGAAATAGCGAAAATAGTTAGGCAAATTAAGTGTCGTATCTTTCTTTAAATTTTACCCAGAATGTTTTAACAATTCGGGAAAGTCAGTGAAATATATTTTTGTATACATCAGGTCTGTTTTGTACCTTGCAACTCCAATTATAAGACTGTTTATTAAATAAAAAAAGTCTTGTATAAGAGTAATTTTTAAAAACACCATCACATCGTAATATAAATAAAATGTAACAGTCGAACTTGTCCATGTGCGAATTGTAAAAATTTTATCGAGGAGCGAGGATTCCATATAAATTTGATACTTCATGTTCAAAGTGGTCTTAAATCGCAATTTTGTAAGGAGCTGTGCTCATTTTATGTTCCATCAAAGCAATGTAATAATATTCTGAAATATTTCATACATGCCAGATAACACGAAATCAAATGTTTCAAATTATATTTCTGCATGCATTACAAAATCGTATAATTCCAATTGTACAATATATATACCTTTGTATAAACCATGTATTCCTTCCCTTGCTATTGTTTTTTTAGCACAGTCCAGGGTTCCATTATATAAAGCTACCTCGTTTGGACCAGGGAAAGGCATGGTTTGAAGACGAACCTGTAAAACATAATTTCTTTTATTCAAATAATCATTTTAATGCAGAAAGATACTAATTTTAATATGTAAAATACTGAAAAAAGAAAGATGTTTGATATAAAATACGGTGAAAAAATCCTGGAAAAGCCACAAATAAAATTAAAAAATTGATTCTTCTCCCAACTTTACAACTAATTCAATTCCACAATCTCTATAATAATTAAAAATATAAAACTTTCGAAACAATCGACTACAATAAAAAAATAAAATGCTTTAAAAACTGATTTATGTACCAAATTTAATAATGTTAGAACACGCGATGCTTCCTCTACTTAACATTTCCATTAGGAGAGCCAGTCCTCTTCAAGAAAAAGGAGTTTAATCCTAAGTAGGATTTAGTAATCCTACTTGGATTAGATACAGCTGAAAAATGGGGGATGATCTTTTACATCGAACCTTACAGGAGTTTTCATTCTATTCTATATACATCTGTTATTATCGTTTACAATATAAAAAAAGTGTGTTCCTACTCGAATGATTTTAAAAAGTTAAAAACATCGCTAAAAACGATTTTCAATCAATCTTTTATCAATGGATCTCTATTTTTGATACTGTATAATCTGTTGCATTATTTATTAGCTTTATTGTTTTACCAGAAACTGCTTTATCAAAATATAATACGATTTGTGCAAATAAAAATGTATAATATACCGACTTACATGTAGCATAAAAGTGATGCTTTTAATCTATCAGCGATCTTTAAACTTGATTATAATAATATAACCTACTTTTATCGTATCCAAAGGATGTCCTGCGATTACGGTGCATATTCCACCGAATCCTCCGCTCAAGAAATATTTAATTGGACTCTCCTTATCAGACATTTTAATTATTATTTATCTAAAACAAGATTCACAGCAGATTTATAAAACGAACAATCGACGCTTATAGACTCACAGTATATAGCATATCCCTCTATCACGACAATGACCTGGATAAACCTATATAGTTGTGTATGTATATACTTATACTTATATATATTTACTTGTATACTTGCATTGATGCATTAACCTGCGTGAACCTGTGGTGAACCATAATTACCATGAATGATGATATAACGATACAAGAGGAAGTAACGTTATGATGCGTATTATCATAGACGAGATGATATATTCAATATCGCTTTGATAGTTGAAGCAATATCATTATCAATATCAATACAATTTTCTCAGTCCTACCCTCAACCTCGTCATACATCGCAAACATTTAACATGATTTTATTTACTGAAGGTGAAAAACGAACAACATTTTTTTTACAAAATTTGACTCACGACCAAGTGAGATTTTAATTTTGTAAATTATCGATAATGAACATAAACCTCAATGTTACTTGATATTATTTAGTAGTGTCAAATAGTGTGCTCCGGATGCGAAATGAAACGCATTGTCTCTTAAAGTAAATTACGAAGGTTAGTTTCATGTGGTTTCGTGTTTTGAATTCTAATTTGAGAACAGACGAGATCTGAACTTGCGTTAATATTTAACGAAAAATTATCGTTAAATTTTGGAATTATTTGTAATTGTATAGAATTCGAAATTTGTAAAAGCGAGCCTAAATTTGAATTATTTATTAAAAGGTGTAAACAGTGACAAACTGGAATAAAACCACGTGTCAAATTACATGTAATAATTCAGAGTAATACAAATTTCATTTGGTAAATTGATTAATAACAAGAATAACAAAAAAAAAAGAAAGAAATGTCAAGACGACCGGAACATTTAGCTCCGCCCGAAGTGGTAAGAATAATTAATATATTATATTAATTTAATTAATATTGTTTATTTTAATGATTTTTTTTGCACAGTTTTATAATGAATCCGAAGCTCGAAAGTATACACAAAGGTATGATCCTTCATATTTACATATGTATCCTCTGTATTATTTAATCTATAATGACATGTCTTCTAATTTTGCAGCTCTCGGATGATAGAGATACAAGAACAAATGTGCGAACGTGCCATAGAACTTCTTCTATTGCCAGAGGATAGAACTTCTTTAGTTTTAGACATCGGATGCGGTTCTGGTCTAAGCGGCACTGTACTTGGAGAAAATGGGCACGTGTGGATTGGAATTGATATAGCTCCAGCAATGCTTGGTATATATATGAAATTTGTATTATTAAAGCTATATTGTTTATGATCTCTTTCATTATAGGTATAGCTTTGGAAAGAGAAACCGAAGGAGATTTAATTTTGGGAGATATGGGTCAAGGAATGCCATTCAGAGCTGGTACTTTTGACGGAGCGATTAGCATTTCTGCTTTACAGTGGTTGTGCAATGCTGATAAAAGTTCACATAATCCGTCAAAACGTCTATATAAATTCTTCTCGACGTTGTTTTCATGTTTATCAAGATCTGCCAGAGCTGTATTTCAGTTTTATCCTGAAAACAATGAACAAATTGAACTAGTAACTACGCAAGCTACAAAGGCAGGGTTTTATGGAGGTGTGGTTGTTGATTTTCCGAACAGTACCAAGGCAAAGAAATTCTTTTTGGTTCTAATGACGGGTGGACCTGCTGCCCTTCCACAAGCTCTAGGTGTCAGCGACGCTGACGCAGCTATTTCTTATATTGCTAGAAGGTAATTTCCTCTATTAGACTTCTAAAACTTTATTTTTCTTTTGCATCAAGTACATTATGTTATCTCCTTTTAGAGAGCAAATTAAAAAAGCAAGAGGTAAACCATTAAAAAAGAGCAGAGATTGGATTACTGAAAAAAAGGAAAGACGACGTAAGCAGGGAAAAAAGGTTCCAGAAGATTCAAAGTATACTGGAAGAAGAAGATGCGGTAGATTTTAATATGCGATAGATTTTATACTGAACTCAACAAAATCATTTGCATCTTCAAACCTGTACATGTAATATAATAATATGTATATATATTTTCCTAAATGTATATATAAAATGCAAGTTCATTACCTGTTTTGTACACTTGTTTTGATACAAAGTTTTAGATAATTTTAATGCCTTCTTTAACTAGCTTTATAAATAGCCGATACTTCTGGTATTTTTCGTAGTTACATTGCAGCTAGATTCGTTGACGCGAGTAAAGGAAACTACAAAACCACAATTCGTCGTAATTAAAATTGATAATGTTCTTTAAAATTTTTCAACGCATTGTACAATAATTTAATCTGGTATTAAGAATTTGGACAAACTCTTGTAAACATCACTATGGACAGTTTGTTTCAATTCTTCCCTATCTAGCCAACAATGTTTAACATTGGAAGAAATATCACCGCTTATATATTTTGCTAGAAAATAAAAAATTTTTGCTCCTTCTTGTCCTTTGGCTCGTATCTCTTTGGGATATGTATATTTATAAAAGCCAATTGGTGCATTCCCATAAAATTTTACCTTCACATTACTCCCACAAAATTCTTGTACAGTTCTATTTGCAGTCTGAAACAATAGAGATAAATAAGATCCTATTGATACTCTATTCAGAAATCTGTACTATATAGTCTTGCCTCTATCATTGTTTCTTCATCCTTCCTTATACTTTGGGGAGGAATCCAAAAATTGGTGTTCCCTATATTTTGTTCTGTCAATAACATTAAATGTTTATCTAGTTTACGTTCTAATGATGAAACCCCATTGTCTTCTACAATTTGAATAAGCACAATACGAACTTTGTTTTATACATTACAGTATTGAAATAATTTTCAGAAGTAAAACTACAGAGTTATATACCGCTTTCTCTTGGTGCAAATGTAAATTTCTGTAGTTCTTCTTCGGCAGAGTCTAGATAGTCTTGCGTAGTTTGGTGATAGACTATATTTACATCGTCATTCTTAGATGCTTTTTGTTTTTGCTCCTTTTCCTTCTCGACTTTTAACTCAAACTCTGACAATAAACTATTTTCAAATTCTATTTGACGTAATAGCTCCTGATATCTAACTTGTATATCTAGCATTGGTTTTGTAATTATTGGGTGACGTTCTAAACACACAGCGCTCATTAGGTCCCATTTTTTCACAACTTCTGTATTTTGTGATAATGCCCGCAATATAACCTTAGATGTTGACGAAGTACCTGCGTGAAGACTTTTCTATGATTTAAAGAATCTTAATGTCGTTTAGTTTTATGATTCATTTGTAGCTTCTCGCTACGAGAGTGACTGACATTCGATACAATAAATTGAAATCAATTAAATGAACAACTTACCCGGCGTTAAGAAAAATGTACTGTTCGGTGTGGGTAACGTTAAGATTCTCTTCAACATCATTATTTCATACTCTAATAAAAACGATGAAAGAAAACGTTGATTTTTAAGAGATGATAAATACAGATAAACAATGTATGTCAACACTGTATAATTGTAATAATATCCGAATTACAGGCAACAGTCTATGCAGTTCTGAAAATACGTTGAATCTAACGACTATACTGGACTATATATTGTTATAGTGGCTATACTAACCATACATAACGCATATACCCAATGATACGAATTCGTGTCACACGATAAGAAATATATTTCATAGAATTTATACAAATTTCGATGTATACTATCTAATTACATTTCGGTCGTGACGAAGTAAATAAGATATAATATATAGAAATAACAAGTACATAACGAATCCTCTGCATCAGCCTACCAATGAGTTTCTGTTGCAAATCCCGTCGTCTTGTTTACAGAGTTTTCTTCTTGCTGGACGAAGTATAGCAGACGGTTTCTCTAACAGAAATTATTTTAACTTTATGTCAACGCAAGTAAACGTATCGATCAAGACAAATCGACAAATCTAGACAAATCGAAAAACGAATAATACAGAACCAAGTTCTTCTTATTATTCTCGTATTGTTAATTTGTTAATTACGCATTTAATCTATATTTTGTGTGATGTGATTCCGATAAAATTTCAGGCGTAGTACGTGATAAGCATTAGCAGTAATTGATAGTGGTACCTGGGATAGCTGTCTGCGGATATTATTATTTTTTTAACAACGTTCAGAAGTAAACTGGTAAAACACCTGTCAAATAAAATTATTGATATGTTGAAAGGTTGAAGGTGAAAAGATTTTTTGTTTCTTGTCAAGCTTCTTAACATTCCTTGAAAACGTAATTACAATACAAAATTAGAAAAAAAAAACCGAATAACAAGGAAAAAGGAGTAGAAAATCGTTTAAAGCAGGATTAACAATCAATATGGCTGGGCCAGATTTACCAGAGATTCCACCACCTTTAAAAAGTCTACAACAAAGTTTGAAAATAGCATCTACTCACGACCAACGAGATCCTGTTGTTAGTTATTGGTGTATGTATTTGCTTTTGAATTAATCGTAGATCATTAGTTGTTTAAAAAAATGTAATTATAGTTTATTAATACAGGTCGACTGTACGCTCTTCAAAGAGGGTTGAAGCTTTCGACCAAGACACCTGAAGAGACGAATTTTTTGTTAAAATTAATAGATTGGTTGGAAACAACCAAAAAGGAATCGCGAGATAACGAAGCTATTACAAACGATATAGCTGCCCAGGCACATTTAGAAAACTGGGCACTGAAACTCTTTCTCTATGCCGATGAAAATGACAGAGCATCTAACTTTGGCAAGAATGTAGTGCAGAGTTTTTTTACAGCTGGTATACTTTACGATGTCTTGACTGTATTTGGTGAACTAACTGAAGAAGCTGCGCAAAATAGAAAGTACGCCAAATGGAAGGCGGCGTATATTCATAATTGTTTAAAGAATGGCGAAACTCCTGTACCAGGACCAATCGACGATAACACTGAGAACATTGATTCTGGTAAAACCATGGATGAAGGTATATCAATCATGTTTGTTGCTTTTGTAATGCAAAAACTTATTAACTTTTTTTTATTTTTTTAGCAGAGTCAGTTAATACTCCTACCTCACCTAAAACGAAAGAAGGAGAAGAGTTGTTGAATACAAATACAGATGGATCGATCGATAGTTCTAATACTGATTCATTCGATACACCGCGCAATCCAATTAGCACAGGGAACATTGGACAATGGTCTTCCGAACTTAAAGAAGACTACGATGCGAGCACGAGAACGGAAGGTACATCCCGAGTAAATAATTCAATCGATTCGTATGCAATTACTTGAACGATAAGAGTGCATATTTAATAGGAGGAGTTGAATTGTCACTAGAGCAAATGAACAAGGCACAAAAGTTTATTAAATGGGCTGGAAGCGCTTTGAATTACGACGATGTGCCTACAGCCGTGTCAAATCTCCGGAAGGCTTTACATCTTTTAACCACTGGCGAAGAACTCGCATGATTGGAAGCAAGCTTGATTATCGATCAATTTATCAGCTCATCTAGATTAACGATTTATATTTCGCAATAAAATCTACACGCGGTTGATCGACTTCTATTGCTTATCGACAGTAATGTAAATACCAGTGTTTGCAATTCAACTAATATAGAAGTAAAAACGTTAAGTTATTTATTGAAACGTTTACATTATTACAGCTACGCCGAATATTGATGATGTCTTTTGAGTATATAAACTCCGTCTTTGTACGCGTATAAAATCGAAAACGAATCGGCGTTTGTTCTTTTTCGTGGCTGTCACGAAAAAGAAGCGATTCGAAAATTGATAATAGTTATCGGTAAAAATAGAAACAGAACTAATCGCACTGGGTGTTTCCATTGTTATTTAATTCTTATACGCTTATATGTTCAGCGTTATATTATAATTGTATTCGCGCGTACATCCTTTAAGGCGCGTTAAAGTTTGTAAGTGAAGCTAGTTATTAGTACTGTACATATTGGTTTTTTTCGTATTTAAAATATTTCGTGCTGTTCTTACGTACTAAAAATATGAACCACCCAGGGAACGAACAATATTCTTGATTTACGAATGATTTCAAAAAGATTGTACATATACGTTTGTTCATACGTGTGACTGTGCTGTCCTTTTTTCACTTTTATTTTCATGTTACTTTCTCGATAAAATCTTCATCTCCGTCGACACAAAAATTAGAATATTCAAAATAAATACTATTAAATCAGATTACGCGAGCAGAAGGCTAAATTACTTAAGGCCGCAGCTGGATGACATGAACTAAACGGGTTTACTTTTGCTTTACTTTTTGATTGTTTTCACGTTTTTTTTGTCCGTATGGTTTTATCAGGCTCTACAAAAGTGCATGTTCAGGAAGAAGAAGAAGCGGAAAGAAACAAGAAAACAGTGAAAGGAAACGCGCGCGTGCATTACAATGCCAATATCGTTAATTATCATCTAAGGACATGTACATACATACATATATCTTAATACGATATCAAGGAGAACACATTAATTCGAATGGCAGTTAATACCTTGTGTTTGAGCTAATTGTGTTTCATGGCCCTCTGAGGGTGACTAGACTAATATCGTCGATCGTGACGATATTCTTACTCTTCAAAGTTCAAAGTTCAAAGTTCGAGGCTTACGATTCAGAGTTTTAATGGTTGCAATGCTTTCAAAAAGTACGCCTCGCACGCTGAATGAATACGAAACTCGATCGTCGCGTAACCATTCGCAACTAATAAATGAGAAATCGAACATTGATCGAATCCATCGGCGTTCGTGGACCCTTCAGAATTAAAAGGATCGTAATCCTCCCTCGTTTTCTCTTTTATCGGTAATCAATTTAAAGCGAAGTACAGTCTCGACACGTAAGTTCAATCCTGTTTTTTGGTCTTATCGTCGACTCCGTTCGCCGTTACCGGTTGTGCATCCTCTCGTCTTAATTGCCAGTCTATTACCAATCGTCCTGTCAGCATGAAGAAGAACACCTAAAAGAACGGCCGAATTCAAACAGACTTTTGTCACTAGCGTTACAGAATTTTTGAAATTTTCGTACGACTCTCACCAGTGCTGGAGCGATTCTCTCGAATTTATCGTTGACCATGTAGTGGGAGTACACGGCCATCAACATCAGCAATAACAATACCGCGTTCGATGCGTTCTTTACTTTGTCTGAAAAGGTAATAATAAAATGGGACATTTTTGTAAGGTATAAAAAGAAAATGTAGAAATTACGCAAAACGAATTTTTCTACGTAACGAATTATTTTAGTAGAAAGATTAAAAAAATTTTCTTACGGCTGGGCACTATCGCCATCGCAAGTCCACAGATGATCTCGAGGGATCCGACAACTCGTCTGTACCACTTGCTCGGTACTTTAAAGTCCAGGGTACCAGAAAGAGGAAACACCTTTGCATATTTTACGTATTCCTTTCTCTGAAAGCATAGCGATAGAATCGGTTAACGAAATACGACCATAGAGATATTATAATATGACTATAAACGCAACAGAGGGGCAGAGAGTGGATTACTCGAGGCAAGGAAAATTATCACAGTTCCTGGCTAGTAAACATCGCGCGCTGGCATGGCACGCAGACCGATATTTGGCGCGCAACCAAAAGGTTGACGGTTTGCTAGAACTTTGGACATTGGGTAACAACAGCAGACGAAAATAATCTCACGAGGCGCATCGGAGAAAACGAATTACATACATTAAAATTTGATCGCGCTTAGGAAGAAGCTTCGGACGCTTAAACGTCGACGAAACTAAATGATTTTCTATTTTCAGAACGTCAAACGAATACGCGCAAACTTTCGACGAAGAATATCGTTCGATTAATTTCGGATAACGTTGAAATATATTTTAATTAAATTTTACGTTCCGAAAAGTATACGTTGGATGTTTTCATCGAAACAAATATTCAAAGCTGGCCGTTAAAAAGAAAACTGTTGCTCTCTCGCGGACTGTTACCTTTTCGAAATTACTCGGTAATATGAAAATAATAAAGTTGAAATAATAAAGTTGAAAGTCTGCTAATAAAAAGAAGAAACGAGCGGGCGGGCGCGCGCGCGCTTGTGTTTGTACATGTTTACGCATCGACGAGTATTTTTTGATCGAACAGATAACGAGAGAACGCGAACGCGGACGCGTGTTGTACGCATGAAAAACGGAACGGCGAGAAAAGCGGAGGACAACCACGAACGCGGTAAAGCTGAAGAGGGAAAGAATGATTGGTTAAAGGTGACAGCTAGCACACGTCACGGTGGATCTACGATTAACCGATTAAGACGGAGGAAAAGGTAGGGAAGGAAATACTCGTAGCGCGAGAGCGACGTTAATCAGTGACAAAGGCAAAGTAGGAGAACGACGGGCCGTGGGGCGACTTCGATGATCGAACATGCGAAGAAAGAAGATTGCGCGGTGAAAACGCGGTTCGTGAGATGGGGTGAATTTCTGTTACATAATTACGCGAAGAGCAGGCTGTGACTCACCAAGTCCTTGTGGAGATCCTTGCTGATATGGGAAGTCAGCTTCATCGTACCGACGAAAACAAAAAAAATACCGAGTAGGACTGAGAGAGATTTTAGAACGATCGAGCCCATATTTCGACAACGTGAAACCGTTGGTGACGCGAACGCTGGTCGTACAGAAGAATCGATTCGGAATCTGGGCTGGACGGACGACGAGCTGTAGCCGCGAATTCGGGGTGTTGCGCGAGCTGGGTACGCTCGGTAAAACCGTCCGTCTCTTACCTATACATATCTACAGATTTTCAAAATTTATTCTCTCGCGAGCGTCCTTAGGAATTATTCGAATCTTACAAATGACGGCTATGGCTATGGACACGATATATCGTTGTTCATACTTCCTCTTTTCCTTCTCTCTCGGTTTTGCTCGGCCTATTCCGACTGCGACAGCGCAGAGCGCGCGCGACGCTAGGACGCCGTGCGTCGCCGTCGCGTTACCTTCTGTCCTGTAACGTAATTGGTGGGGTTTCTAGAGACGAGTTAGCCGTCGTAGTATTTGTCGTAATTCTAACATATGTATACATCTCGACCGGGGTCTCTTCGAGATCGAAAGAAGCGAGAAGCTCGGGTCACTTACCTTTCAAAGACCTCGCTACTGCTCGCTACGTTAACGCTTTACCGACTGGTAACGAAGGGACGTATAATTCAATAATTATTTTACCCATTACAATCTTCTAATAGTTTTCTGATTATTATATATAATAATCGTTCGTACAACGTTAAAGCATAAAGTACTATCTCGATAACAGGTGACGAGGTGTCGGTTATCCTAACAAGTCTATCAACTATCCCGGTCGGTAAAGCGTTAACCTAATCCATCGTAACCGCAAATTAAAAGCGACAGGAAAGTTATTTTATGGTATTATTTATTCGAATGAAACATCGAAAGAAATGTTTGAGAGGTCGTTGAGGACAGAGAGATAGTACGGTGACAATGTTATTTTATTAGGTGTAGAAATTAATTCTGTGCCTCTGTATTCGATTATCTAAAGTTGTAAATAATTGAATATAAAGGAATAGAATTAATTTCTACCCCTAATATTACTTAAAGTTAAAAGGCTTAAACATAGATTAAACAAAATAGCACGCAACCCTCTGTAAACTATACGCGAGGAGTTTTAAGGTACCATTCTCTACTGTTCGACTGTTGTATATTATGTACACGTGTTATTTACATACTTTTACATAATTTCTTTTTAATTTCTTCTAATGCGTGGCTAACAGTCGTGAACAGAGTTGTTTCGATCATCCAGTACCATCGCATTCTCGGTCGAGTTTTATACTTTACTGACACTTAAAATGCAAAAACTGTTAATTAAACCCTCGTGTTCCCTTACAGACTTCATCTTTCGATAGATTCTTGTTGCTCAAGTACCAACTACATCGCTATTATCTTGTTGGAAACGTCTGCAAGTTCTTAACTTTAAAGAAGAATCACTCGCATCCAGCGAATTCATACTACTATCACTGGTGTTATTTATGACAATAGTCATATTTGCGTTGTTATTCGCTAAGCATACTGGTTTCTTGCGGCGCGCGAATAAAACTACTTTTCCATGGATGTTAGCCGGCGCAATCTTCGCGTTTGTAATATTGGACTTGCCAAGTGATATATTTAACTCGTGTACGTCTGCATTTTTTACCGTGCTTTCTCCTTTCGAATCGTTCTCGGGACCATTTCGAATAACGTTATCGTCGTTGCAATTGTCCAAGTTATCATTACCAGTTTCCGAATCTCTGCAGACTTCCTTATCTCCGTTATCGTTGACGTTACATTCATTATCGGGCAATTCAAGGTCAATCGTGGTATTCTTCGAAAGTCCCTTTAGTTTTAAACACCCCGACGACACTTTCTCTACCGTGTTAACGAATAAACAATCGTGGTGCGACAACTCGGTGGAGTTTATTAGCTCACATTCGATTCCTTCCGCTTTCTTCACAGGAGTTGCTAACCCTAGTTGCATCTCTATACGATCTTTATCGAGAGATGTATCGCGCGATTCAGCCGTAAGGAGTTTCGCGTTCGTTTCTTGTTCTGCGTGGAGAGTAAGTGATTGTTCAACGTTGGACTCAGGCAGGTGAATTTTTTCAGAATTTTTCTGTTCGCCGTTCGTCAACGGGTATTCCTTTGCGTACTTAGTGATGATTTCTCCGTTTTCTCTTTCGGCATGTTCCGCGAGAACGACACCAGGCGACGATTGCGTCTTCTCGTGAGTCTCACTGTCGGAAGCATAATCGCGAATAAATTTTTCAATATTCTCAAGATTTTCGTTTTCGATACTTTCATTATTTTCCGAGCATTGTTTGTTCGGTGACGAAGCAGTTACGATAGGTGGACACGATGAAACATCATTGGTAGATGCGTCCGATTTTTCGACAAATTCATTTTGTACTTGTACTCCTTCGTCGTCTTTAAGTTTCTCTTCTCCTATATTCGCTAAGGGAGACACAGTTTGTTCGTCGTTATCGTTTCCGCGATTTCCAGATTCGTTGCATTCGTTGTCCTCGTTTAGGTTAATATTCAACGCCGTTGGACTAATCTCACCGTCTTGGAACTCATTCGAATCTTGTATTAGATCGACGTAGTTCTGCGAGCTCAAGTTCACTTGGTGGGGCCTTGGCGGAGGTTGATTTTGTCTTTCTTCGACGCTTTTTTCTCCATTCTTTTCGTTGCTTTTTTCTCCACACTTTTCGCGGCTTTTCTCTCGATTCTTCTCGCGTTTCGATACTTCGCAATGCTTTGAACGTGTAGTAGATTTGACTACGCCAGACTTTCGACGCGGCCAGCCGCTGTTCTCGTCTTGCTTCTTTCTATCGTCGTTCTTCAATTTACGAGACCCATAATCGTCGTAACGACTGCTAATCTGCGAGTTACCCATCTTCCTGTCCATCGAGGAACGTCCCGTCGTGTTTCTCGGACTTCGCGTTTCTCTGTTGAAGAATTTCGTTTTATCCACGCTGGTACTTCGGAAATTGTAATGCTTTTCAACTTTGTCTCCATAATTTTCTCCGTAACCATGCTTTTCAAACCTTTCTCCGTAGCCATGTTTGTTGTGTTTATGTTTGATGTATTTTTCTTCCCGACAGGATTTGTACGAGGTCGACCTCGCGCGCGATCGATGATCGTCCGTACCAGTCACGCGACGATCTTCTTTGTGTTTAGCTCGATGATGTTCAACATTGTTGGTTCGATAATCGTCTTTCCACGCTATCGCGTTGGAACGATGACCCGCGCTCCATTCCTCTAATCCGAGCTTGTGATGCCGTTTCAAGGAATGTTCTTTCGCGACTTTTTTATCACACGATATATCATTCTCGTCTTTAATATATTTTCTCTCTTCCCTTTTAACTGTACCACCATTACGATAACCATATTTTTTAACTTCTGTATTCAATTTGCGACTAGATTCTATATCTGAACTTTTTGCGGTGAGTCTAACTTCGGTAAAGTTATCGAAATGCTCAATTTTTGTAAGTTTTAAGGAATCGTGCTTTTTGTCGGGTTCAACGGCAATCCTGTCGTTTCCTTCTGTATTTACCGTTTCTGTGAGATACTCTTCGCTCTCGAATTTGATTCGTTTCAAAGTAACAGGTGTACTTGTATCGTCGTTTGTTCTTTTCCCTGTATGATTTACCTTTTCTGGTTCATTTTTATCCCTTGTAATAACTTTCGATATTATCAAAAGGTTCTTTGTTGGTTCGCTTTCAGAATATTGAGAACCTACGAGGGACTGGACTTCCTTCGTGTTACAAGAATTAGTATCATGCAGAGAACCATTTTCCTTGTCGCTTTCAGCTACGTAACCCTCATTGTGCACACCACTGTTACCATTAACGGTAAACTTGCTCGACTGTTTCTCCATCCTTTCCAAGTACTGCTCATCCGCGATCCTCTTACGTAACCGTTCGCCAAAGAGCGTGATAGGCGTTAAAGTGGATTTGCTTAAGTTAGGATCTTTGGTTGGATTATGCATCAAATCTGGTTCAAATGACTCCTCTTTGATTTCGTTAACAGATACAGGAAAATCAGAAGGCTTGCAATAGATATTCACAACAGCTTCGCGGAAATTCGATTTACGGTACTCGTTTGTCTTAGCATACTTGGCCCTCCTAAATGTTACATCGTCGAGCCTATAATTATTATATGTTTATCAAGAAAATATCGTAACGAGAGTAAGAAGAAAAACATCTACTTACTTTTTTCTTAACTCATCGATCATCTTATCCTTCCGTGCGATTTCAGCTTTGGCGGTTTTCAATAAGGAGACCATATTAACCTCCAAATTTTTGTTAATCTTTCGGGAATTTTCCAACTGTACTGTGAGTTCTTTTACTTGTTTCTCTAATGTTATGCGATCGGGCGTAACATTTTCTTCATTTTTTGACGCGAGCTGTGGGTATCATATGATTCCGTGATATTAAACTTAACCTAACTTTGTAAAAAACGAAGTACTGCTTCACGATACTCACTTTCTCGCCATATTTTAATTCGAAACTTGGCAAATCTCCGTAAATATCGGTATCATCTTCCATCTTTTTTATTCTCCTAGACGTAAATTTAAATAAAAAACTGTCATTCTGCCGCTTCTATACACTACTCGTTCTCACCCATTTTCATCACGCAACGGCCTTACGTCAGTGTGTAGAGCTATAAAGCAGACTTTATGGAAGTGTGTAGTGTGTAGTATTACATCTTCCCATCCACTTCTATGTGTTACGCATAATAGTGGAATGCTTTAATTGATAATATTGATACCATATTAAATAACATTCGTAGAAACGTGGCTGCAAACAACCGAATCCGATAAAAAATCTGTTAACGTTTAATATCTATTCATATCTAGGTTGTCAAGTGCCTACCACTGTGCCTATTAGCATTAGCAGTTATATGTATACTGTGATTGTGATAACTGGAATTAAATAAACGATTTGACAAAGGATGAGAAGAAGAATATTTTCTTTAATTTACTTTGAATCCATTATATTTTATTCTCACTACATTTCTAACATGTTTATTGTAATTGTTACTAAAAATATCTCTCAAATGTTGTTGGTGGCTGATAACAAAAAGTACATATTGAATTTGAAGATTTACTACTATCACATAAACACGACGAAGCGACACCTGTTGGAATTGGCGATTCCAATTAAACTGTAGCGATCTTAGAAACTGAACTGCAAATTTCCCTTCGACACCTTACTTTCATTCATCGTTTTTTCTGTAAGATAATCTGTGCAAAATTATACAATATTACGCAAAGTAGATGTTCTAAGAATGCAGTTTTTCTAGTGTAACTTGTACACTTTTCCAATTGCGATGTACAGTCGAGTGTCAGTCGATATGAATCACTTGATACAAAACATCTACGAAAAAATATTCGTGCAACTGGCACCTGCTTTTGAAAGAGTGCAAGATAAACGACGAAAGTTGTGAAGGAATTCTAAGGATCTCGGCGTACCTGAAGTAAGTAAAAAGTTACAGAATCTTTTAGAAAAGTAAAAGCAATCAGAAACAAGTAAGAAGTAAATAGGTATGTAGACTGTCGACTAGACGGGTCAACTCTTAGGCCGATCGTACACGGCGCAACCGATCAGTTTCAAACTTTGACCATATATACATGGACTGCTCAAGCCTACTCTTTATCTTCGACCATACATACATGGACTGCTCAAGCTATAGTATAGTCCGTAACCAACATCTCCCATGCCAAAGTTACGAGTAAGCAGTTGTGCGCAAGCGCTATAGTCAATGGGCGATAGCAGTGGGGAAAGGCGCGAATTGAAATTTTGGACGGTTTGTCGAACTACTCTTTGAGTATATAGAAATGTATATTGAGTATATGTCTATCTACTCAAAGGAACTACTCTTCGACCATTGGTCAAAGCTGCAGTCAGCCTGTCATCGAGATGGAATTTTTGCTATAGTTCTCGAATTCGACGCATGCGCATTAACGTGAAGTCTCACTTTTGGTATGGAGATGTTGGTTACGCTCTGCTTAGTGTATAAAGAGTAGGCTTGAGCAGTCCGTGTATACAGGGTGTCCCAAAAATGTTGTAACACCTTGAAAGAGGTGGTCCGGGAGGTGATTTGAGACAACTTTTTCCTTAGCGAAAATGTTGTTCGAGGCTTCGTTGAGGAGATATTAACGGAAAACATTGATCAATCAGAGCGCGCGTATACCGTTGGAGCGGTCGCGGTAGCAAATGAGCGCAGCCGCCTAGCGCGTTGCCTACGCTCAACCGGCATACTCGCGCTCTGATTGGTCAGTGTTTTCCGTTAATATCTCCTTAACGAAGCCTCGGACATTTTCGCCAAGGAAAAAGTTGTTTCAAATCACCTCCCGAACCACACCTTTCAAGGCGTTACAACATTTTTAGGACACCCTATACTCATGAAACGACAGACACTACCCGGTCGCGTTATATCGTTGCGCCCAGTTGCGTCGTCCCTGGCAGGAACGTGTCGCGCATGCGCATTTCGTAATTCAGTCAGTGGTTCTCTGACGCGTTAGTATGCGACACGCGGTGGTATAGGACGGTACGTTCGCAATGGTTTCGCGTCGGAACTTACGAAAAGTTTGTTAGAGCAGTTACAAAGTTTGAAAACGCGTGTTCGTATGCGTGGACGAGAAAAAACAGGTTTTCGTCGCCTAGGAGTCATTCTTAGCAATCGTAATATCGGCTTTTTCGATCGTTGTGTCAGCTGGCAACGGCGAGAGTGTGTGAGGGCCGGTCTTGGGTAGAATCGCGTATCGTTTACATGTGTGCGTGTTTATAGCGTTTGCATTCGCGCGAACATACGCGCGCTTGCGCTTGCGCGCGCGCGCGCGCGAGAACATGCTTTGCGAGACCGTTGTTCGTAATAATCGCGCATTTATGTTTGGATTATCGTTATCGAAATCCTGTCGTGAATTGAAGTGTCTGTGCCTCGAGTACACTTATAAAAAGAGCGGTGGGTAATGTATGCTCGTCGAATGGAAGTACTTACTCGCGATGTCAATGAAATAGAGACCACGAGGAGTGATGCACGTATAGACGCCAAAATTTTATTCTATTTTCCAAGAGGAAGGAACGATTCGTTTGACAGAGGTACGTTGTAATCGGCCAACAGAATTAATGCTAAAAAAATGTATGTAATATTTGTATCCCATAAGTAAGTAGTAGAATTGATTTTTCTCTTTAATTACGTGCATTGCGCACTTTGAAATGCGTGGATCCAGACGTCAAGTTTTTCATTTATTACAAATTTGGTACGTAGTTCACGACCGGTATCGTTGTACATATTACGTTTTTTTTTAAAAATAGGAACTGATTAGTGGGTATTGAAGAGTAAAATGGCAATGCTAGCAGAGACATCAAAGAGAAGAAAAGAAAGGAACGTGTCTCGCGTGTCACGATGACCGCATGAAAAGCCTTCGTACGGCTTTCATGAACTTTTCCCAAGCTCATCTTTTCGGTGTAGCTGTGAAAAGAGTTCTTCCGAACCTAAAGGTTTCGTTTCTAAAGGTTGCTTCAATAATAAAACAGATCGAGCGCCCAGACGTTGAGACGTCGACCGGCGTGCATACACTCGCAAACAACCGTCCTCGGAACTCGTTTCTTCGGCGTGGTACTTGGACTTTCGTTTGTCGGTTTTCATCGTAAAAGCTTTTAAGAACGAGTTATACGCTCGAGGCAGACGAGGCTCGAAGCTTTTCGAATAAACCGTAGGTGCAAAGTAAATGCGTGCATACGTATTCGTTTGACATATTCGTGTGAACGAAATAATCAGGAAGCGGTTAGTTAAGGGCAATAAACAGATCGTCAGGCATCCACCCTCGACACAACTCTGGTAACTCGATGGCGTAATGTTATTACTTATTACGTAGTTAAATGCGTTGCACGAGGACCATTTTGCAGTTAGATTTTCTAGATCTCGCGTGTCACGTGTAGCGACCGATACCCCAAACGAACGTTCTCTAAAAAATGAAAAAGGGTCAAATATAGAACGAGCGGGATCATCAAAGTTGTCGGATATCATTACCTTGGACGTTTCCCGATTTGAGGGTACGGAATGCTACGAGTTCGTTTGGCGACTAATGATGCAATACGTAATGAAGTTACGAAGGAAGCCCTACGGTGAAAATTGGATACGTTTTCTCCCGTATCGATATAGACGAGACCGAATGATATTTCATAAATATAAAAACATGTAGTTCGATTATTGAATTTACTATCGTTACTATTAAGGGGGTATCCTGAATTAGGAGGTCTAAAAAAAACGGTTTTTCGTGAATTTTCTTAGGATGGAAAAAAATTATTAATTCTATAGAACTTTTTATCCTATTTTCATACATACTTGAGTAGTCTGTAGAAATTTTTTCAACAAGAAATATTCAAATTGAGTCCACTGTGACGCACATTTGTAGACCACCTCACAATTAAAACCTCCTACACTGTCCGACAAATTTAAACTTTTTTTTAAATTCTGCGATATCCACTAGGTGATTCTTATAGGATTCCTCGTCCTGAATACGAATCTGAAAGTGAAATTGCTCCATCACACTTAGTTTTCGAGAAATTCGCGATTTTGTAAATACGGTCGATTTTTAGAGAAAACGTAGTACTACTTGAAAACTACGAACGCTAGAAAGTTCTATTTAGTCTTAAAAGATAGAGGAGCGTTTCCTGAATATGAAGACGTATTCCTTTAGAATTATCTGCTTTTTTGAATGCCTGTAAATTAACACCGAAGTTTAAAAAGTTGGCGACGCGAGTACTTTTCCCGAAATACTTTTGTATTTTTATAAAAAGTTATTCGTCTAGGTCGAATTTACTATCAATTATAGGATTCTGCAAACATTTCTGAAGAGAAAACCATCCGCGGTAAATGTTGGATCGTTTTCTAGTTCGTACAGATCCAGAAAATATTAATTTAGAATGCACGAATTCTGTTTGCCGGCGCGCAGGCTTCGCTCGCTTTACATCGGTGAATCAGGACCGTCGTCATGAGTTCTGCACAATCGTCGCCACGTGCTTGAATAATAACCATCAAATTCTCGTAACATATTGACGAATAGAAAACCATTTTAAAGCTTAATGTTTCTACTTTTCGATACTTTCATCTTTTGTTATTTAAGTTAGTGTTTGGGGGGGGGGGGGGTAAACTTTTATAGGTAGCAGTTTTCATTAAAAATTAACAACAAAATATACAATTATAGATTGAATTAATTGTGAAATAATTCAATTTAGATTTAAATAAAGTTTGCTCATTACCAAATTTGCAAAAGTCGAATAATTGAAGATACAAAAACGGGAAATTAGTGATTAAAATTCAAGCAGTGGACAATTGTCTCCGTTTTGTTGAGTTGCAGTATAAATGAAATATTAAAAATGTAATACAAATGAAATATTAAAAATGTAATAGAAAAACCGATAGCGTGTGGCACCGATTAGGCGAATCCCGTAGCGACGGTCCTGACTGACCGAAACATAGCAAGCAATGGCTGTGCAGCGGCAAAACTCTGTTCATGCGTTCCGAGTTGACATTTTGTCGAACCGTATGGATTAGAAACCGTTCCAACATTTGCCGCGAGTGGTTTTCTCTTCAGAAATGTTTGCAGAATCCGATAACGTAGTGTAAAATCGACCTAGGTGAATAACTCTTCATTAAAATACAAAAGTATTTCGTGAAAAATTCACGCATCATCACCTTTTTGAAATTCGCTGTTCATTTACAGGCATTCAAAAGAGCAGATAATTCTAAAGGAATATGTCTTCATATTTAGAAAACACTCCTCTATCTTTTAAGACTAAATAGAACTTTCTAGGGTTCGTAGTTTTCAAGTAGTACTACGTTTTCTCTAAAAATCGACCGTTTTTACAAAATCTCGTATTTCTCGAAAACTAAGGGTGATGGAGCAATTCCACTTTCAGATT